CACACACACACACACACACACACACACACGCATACCTCCCTACAAATTCACGTATCTCTCTTAATTCTTCCGCCCCTCCATCACCCCCCCTAGTGACGCATTCCCTTTCCTCTATTTTCGTTCCGCCAGAGCGCGACGAAAAAAGAGCGATATCGTTCGATTTCGATGCATCTCACGTTTCTTCTTTCGTAACGTAAAATATACTTCGCGTCGATTACTATCTTGTAGCTTTTCTCCCGATTAAAAAACGGCGTATGCAGATCTATTCTTGAATATATGTCTCGTACGAAAAAGTCGACAATATACACTCTCTAAATTCTTTCAAATCAAATTTTACTGTAAGGAGTAAAAATTGAGCCAGTCCTGAAAAAGAATGACTCAATTTTCAATCTTTAATGAGATTTCATTCTTTAGAGTGATAATTCACTCTAGAACATTTGGAGAGTATGTAATGTGTACCGTAGGATTTTTCGTATGCGATATTTTTCAGGAACAAGGTCTCTGTCCGATCGCTCCATTTTCTCTCTCGACAAATCGATTTCGAGCGAGGAAGCGGGGTAGACAGGGGGTCAAGGCCGTTCCTGCAATCCTCGTCGAAATGGCGCCGTGATTATTCTCGAGAGTCGATTGCGATCCCGCGGGTGTCCCGGCGGATTATTTTCAGAATTAGGTCGGGGTGCAGTTTTGGCGCGAGAGGGGGGGGGGGAGAGAGAGAGAGAGAGAGAGAGATATTGTACGAGAGAATCGCGTCGCAACTCCGGCTTGTTTTTATTTATAGAATACACCGGCGATTATAAAACGCAGAATATTTTGACTCATTCGCATCCTGAGGTCGTGAATGCGCGGTAATTTATCAACGCAAAAATAGGATAGATATTCTAGATATAAATATCCTGAATCTTCGATCGGCAAGTAAATGCGCATAATTTTTCGTAGTAGAAATGATTTTCATTAATACGAAATTGAGTTAGAGAGTCCGAACCACTTCCGATTCGCAAATAATGCTCGTTTCTATCAATGTAGTTAAATTTTAATCTCATTGTCAGTTCAATTAATTCTTTACTTTTTTTAATTGTAAGAATTAGAAAAAAGTTAAGAATAAGTTGAATCGAGATTAAAGTTAATCTACATTGATAGAAACGAGCATAAATCCAAGTCGGAGACGGTAAACGCGCTTCGAAATTATGGATCGATCGTTTCCGGGTCACTTCCGGTCGACCGCTTAGATTCTTCAGCTTTTCTTTCCTCTTTACAAAAGATCGATTACATTCGCGCATACAACGACGGTGTAAGTAAGATGAAATGAATACAGAGAAACCTATTTTTCCTCCTACGATCAGGTGTCTTGGATTCGTTGCACTTTAAGTTTTGATGAAATTTCTGATTAAACCAAGTCTTATTTCGTAGTAAAAATGTGAAACCAATCTGGTTATGAATATTAAAACCGTATAGCAGTAAAAGATAATTTGGTTCAAAGACGCCATAAAATGATTAGAATTTCATAAAAAGAACGATTTTGCTCAAGTATCTAAAAATTTAGCTAGATACAAATCTGAAAATAATTTCATAGGATAAAAATTATCATCGAAATAATTACGTAGGAAACTCAAGCATGATGAGAGAGCAATGCTGCAAAAAGTTATGATATTCTAGCAATCAGTTTAGCGTCCTACACAATTATTTTGATGGCCCAACAAAATTATTTTCGGATGTAGCTAAATTTTTAGATATTTTCTGCAAAACCATTCTTTCCGATATTACATGAGCGATCTTTATTTCAAAAGAATTTCACTTTATCGTTTTACGATCATCGAGGCGTCCAAAATTAATTTGAATCTTGATTGAAGAGGAAGGAGTCAATTGTACAAAATTAAAGAAAGAAAGGCCTAGTCCGTTCTATAGAAAAGGTCATTTCACAGAATTCACAAATGAAGAGCGATAGATCCGAGTCACTCTATATACTGCACATATTCTTCCAAGCCAGAACAATCGAACGCTCGTCCAAAGACCTTTAGTTTTTACCCTCTTAACACACGAGACACGCACATACGCAGGTACGCATTCAGCAGGCAGAAAGAGACAGAAACACAGAGAAACTCTTCAATGAACGAGAATCGACACGCGAAGAGCTTTTGGGCGTAATATCTCCTTTGGCATCATCCGCTTTAATCACCCTTAAATCGACAATATTGCAACGATGACAATGTTTAGAATGTGATGGTTCCTTCGATGTTACGTCACTGTAACTGTATGTTTATGACGATTAGTCATAATGATAATGATGATCATGATGATGACATAATAATGATCTGATGATAATGCAGGTGATAATGATGATGAATTGATGATAACCCGATGAGAGCGGTAAGGTAACTCCAATCTTTTATTTCCGTTTGGTAATCGCGCTCCCTCGCGACCTGTACATTAATTCGGTAATCGATCGATGGAATAGATTTTTAAAAGTGGAAATGGATTTAACGTTCCATATAATATGTTCCATATGTATAATTTAATTTTAATCTTGGTTTAACTTTTCTTTTTATCTTGCCCTAGTTGTAAGAATTTGAAAAGGTTAAAGAGTAAATTAAACCGAGATTAAAGTTATTTCTACATCGGTAGAAATGGATTTAAAAGAAGAATGTCGGGAGACGTATGCAATCCCTCCCGATGAGTTTGACCTTCGGAAGACATGCGGAAAAGACCTTGTGCCAATTGATAACCGCAAGTCATGGACTATTCATAAACATTCTCGCGTATTTGTATTTTTCGGATTTACCAATATCCGATTCCCAGATTCAAGCAGCGGATTCTTCCGCCGTTGCGTCGTTCTTTATGATATTTCGAGGAACGCGTGTTCGTTCCCCTGCTGTAGTATAGCGCATTGCTTTTCCTTTTTTCCTTCACAGGGTCTTGATCACGTAACCTTTTCTCTACGGTAAAAACATGAAAGGTGAACATTTTTACGTATGTATGTATATAAACACATATAAGGACCAAGTTACGTGATTGACCTCCTTGAAGAGCGAGAAACCTCGGTATGTTCGGTTTCCTTTTGTGTTTGAGGAAAAATCTCCGGGATCTTATTGAGTTATTATTACTTACCTAGGCTGCGTTCAGAAGGTTCAGAAGCTTCACTCGAACGTATTCTTTTATCCTTGCTCATCGAATGTTAACGCTAGAAGGATCGAGGTAGCCAATTTGGCGAAACTAATATAACTTTTTTCAATTTTTCTTCCACGTGATACCCTTTTGCGATTTTAATAAATTAATAAAATTAGTGATACTATTGTTGAAACGTTCATTATAATTATCTGTACGTCATTTTTTTCTATTTGTTGTTTACGAAGTAATTGTGCTTGGAGCCAAATTGGCTACCTCTTATGATCCTTCTAGAGGGATCGTCAAACCGATCCTTTTCTAATGTTAAACAAGGGTAAAATGATATCTGTGTAATCCGGGTAAAATTTCTGACGCAGCCTTATAGGGTGCATTTTCTACCCGGTCGGTCTACAACTAATGTCTATTTCCAAACTTCAATTTCGGTTTAACTTTTCTAGTTTTAATTCTTAGAACTAGAAAAAGATGAAGACTGAATGGAAAACGCCCTAAAGGTATTATAAAATTTGAAAAATTTTTTCGTAATCATAATAGAAAACTAAACATATCGAAGTCTCATCCTTCAGATCCTTATACGGAAGATGAAAAGGTAAAGCAATGGCTACGGTTAGCACAGAAAACTAACTATTATTTAATATAAGATCGATTCCTACGCTTAGATCCAGCGGAGAACTAGAGGCAAAAATCAATCGTATTAAAGAATCACTAAGCGCTAACCGATTAGTTTTCTGTGCTGAACGCAGCCAGTGGAAAAAGCAATTTTGCAACCGTTATAAAAATCTTTAATATAATTAGTCTTACCTTTAGTTCCTCACCGGATCTAAATGTATAAACCAATCATATTAAAGAATTTTACAAAAGTTGCAAAGCTGTTTTTTCTGCTAAAGGCAATTCGCTAAACTAGTGCGATTGGACAAGAGACACACAGACAACAGTGAATCATTTCATCTTTATTCAATAAAAATTGACAAACAAAGATTCATGTGTGTCTCTTGTTGGAAAAAGCAATCATTATCTCTTAGCGAACAATATCGATTGAAAACTTCCGCGAAAATTAGATTCGTATATCTCGAATCATTTCGTTTCTCTCATGTATCTATACACGGCTGGAGTGTATGTGTGCGTGTTTACGCAGAACCGTGATTCTCAGCCAACGTCTTTGCAGTCTTTGGTAGCCGCACGCGCACCTGTCGTTTTCTCGCCGGATCTCGCCTATCGATCAGTTTCTACGTCATCCGAGTGTGCGAAGTGTACAATCCCTGTCACCCTGTTTCGCGCCATAACACCGTCCCCTTTCCGTCCCGGTGTTCTCCTTTTACGCGGTGCGAATCGATGTTTTCGGCACGGCCAGTAGCTATCGGCTGCGGTGCCGCCACGTTACAGCCCGTGCGATCCGGATTTTTCCTCCCCTCCACGAGAGAGTGTCTCCTCCGCGTTACGTATATAGTCTATCGACCTGTTCAATGACTGCTTGCGCTATCAATTTGACCTTGGCGACAATCGCGAGTCCGTCTTCATGAATTCGCCTCGACGTCATTTTTAGCTCGCCGCGGCGCACGCAGGCTCGCACGCACGCACGAAACGCACGCACGCACACGCTACAACAACCACCACCATCACCATCATCACCACCATCACCATACACTCGTGATATATTCCGAGACAGGCTATTATGATTTACGATGAGGTGATAACATAAATCGAGAGATGCGCTTTCTTGTAGAAATTTATGAGCACAGAGTCATTTCCGTTGAGAAATGTTCGCGTGCGATCTGTTACAACTGTCACGCCGATCGATTTTTCGGAATGATCGAGAAATGCGTTTCGTCAATGTGTTTCGATGTACACAATGTCGAAATCGAAATGTATTCTGAGAGACAAATATCATCAGATCTTGCTCATCTTGGTCTCGTATAAAGTAATGCATGAACGATACACTAACGGATGAAAATGAAAACGAAAATGTATATCTTATCCTGTTAAAGATTTTGTATATACTTAATAATTTCGTGCACGAAGGAAAGTCACAGTTGTATCGTATACATATATTGCAGAGACATATATAGTTCAGTAAAGTAATTCGTCGTTTTACGTATATATTCCGTTATTTTATTATACAACGAAGGATAATATTCCTCGGAACCGTTAAAAATAGAAACTTTCTGCAATTGTCATCGTAGCAACTGTTGAATTAGGACATCTTGTTTTAATCAAGAAGTTTATTTTATAACCATATAATTATACATAATTTAATTATTACTCTTCATGTATTGAATTAAAAAAATTGTTATATATAAATATTTATCTAAACAAATACGATGCATAAGTAAACAATTATTACTAAGCGATAAATAATACTTGAAGAGTAGTTTACGAATCTCAAGGATAACTTACGAAGCATTTGTGTTGCAGATCTTTTATGTAATTCTCATAATATTCTTTTTTTTTTAAATGTGCAGCAACAACGATAACGATTTAGAAGATGGAGAAATTCCATCAGACGAAGATGATGAACCAATTATCTGTGCAACAATTGAGGCACCAGTGGAGGTTGCCAAGCCACCACCTAAGCCAGATACTGCAAAAAATAAGAATTTTGATGCAAAGTTCAACAAGAACAAAAAATCACAAGCTGCGCAAGCAGCTGGTAAGCATGATCGATTTTTGAAATATAAGGGACCGACTGAAGACTGGGCTGGAGATGTCGAAAAAGCTATTAAAGCTGCGATGGAAGAGGATGGAGGAAAGAGTCAAGAATCCAAGCCAAAAAGCAAAAACAACAGAAATAAAGTTAGGAAAAGAATGCGCGATGAGAGGGAAGAGGATCGTGGTAAAGACCAGAAGGTATGTAAAATTCACAATCACAGATTTCATTTATATAAATGCATCAAATATTATTTTTTCTGTATTAAGTGTGCTTTTGAAAACCATAAGGTGTCTTCGTTTTATGATTCAATTTTTATGATATTGTATGATACAGAAACGAAAACTGAGCGATGATGAAAACACAAATGAGGATGAAGACGAAATGCTGTTTGTACGAGGAGCTTCGCCCATCAGGAAGGATTCTCAAGAGAATAATTCTCCCAGGCGTACAAATGAGCATGAGAGTTTTGACAACAATTCAGATTATGAGGAAAGACCCAACATAAATCGACATAGAGAAAATGACAGCAAACGCGGCACTGGACGTGGAGGAGGAGGAGGTGGTGGAGGTGGAGGAGGAGGAGGTAGAAATATAATTTCTATTTCTTTTAATTGCAATGACATAATTAAAATATTATATCTACATATATTTTTATCATGGTTATATAATTAAAATTACTAAAATTATAATTTATTGACTACATTGCATTACTTTTAATGCTTTTGTGTATTTAGGGCGTCGTGGTGGCAAGAACGAACGTGGTAAGAACAAGACCCGGGGTCAAGCTCGAAATGATCGAAATAATCGTCGTCAGCAGAACAACGATCACGGGCAAGATCAATCGGACACAATTTGCGTATATTATATGCAAGGAAAGTGTCACAGGGGGGATGATTGTCCATACTCGCACAATGCTTTGCCACCTAGAAAGATGGAATTGTGCAAGTTCTACCTTATGGATTGTTGTGCAAAACGAGACAAGTGCCTCTATATGCATCATGATTTTCCTTGCAAGTTCTTCCACACAGGTTTAAAGTGCAGTCAGGGTGACAATTGTAAATTTTCTCATCAGCCTTTAAACGAACAGGTATATTGTAATTTTATAATATCATAATATGTGTTAGTTTACAAAAAAGTATTATAGTGTCAATATGTGAGTTATAAATAAAAAAATTTGATACTGATAAAAAATAAATTTATTACACTAAAAGTAATTATATTTGAATTATTTTGTGTTTCAGATAAAAGGTATTCTTTTAAAACATTTGGAAACTGCACCAAAGGAAATTCTTGGTGATTTTCCAAGGTTGAGCAGAGAAGGTGCAGTGTTAATGATAAATAATACTGCACGTTCTCTAGCTCAAGGCCAAGATACAACAAATCAAAAGATTCCTAGTCTCTTCGAATTGAATTTATCAGTACCTGTAGAAAAGGCTGATGAAAGAGAAGAGAAAGGTAATCCTCTCTTTTAATAAATGGAAATTGATCAATTTTTACAAAATATTGTGATATTTTTTTATTTGTTTCAATTCTTATATTAAAATCATAATTATTTAATTATTAAATAGAAGAACAAATAAATCAGCAAAAAACTAATGTGAGGGAAAGAAAGCCTTCTGGAAAAAAGACGCGATGGGGATCAGATGAGGACAGAGTTCCTTACGAGCAGATTATGCTAATGCAGTCAGCAAATGAACTTGGACTTCAACTTCCGAACGCGGCATTAGGTTTAGCTACTCAACAGACACAAATTGCTGCACCGCCTGTAGATTTCTATAGCGAAAGAACTGCAGAATCAAACAAAACTCTTGAAAAAACAAAAGAAGATCATCTGAAGACTGTAGAAGAAACAAATATATCAGATGAGGTATATAATTTAAATTTATTTACTGCGCAAATTTATATTATAATTTATATTGTTATGAATTACGTTTACAGCTGTGTCAATTCTAAAGCTGATTCTACATTAGTTGCATCGCAGCGTCGCAAGCGTTGCGGTTCAATCAACGACAAGTTAGCTCGACTCTGATTGGACCGCAACACTTGCGACGCTGCAATGCGACTAATGTAGAACCAGCTTAAGCAGAAACGTAAGACTAGTAATGTGTTCTCGTAAAACTTGTAAGAACTATGACTAGTATTCTAATTTTATGCGTATGTATCGTAATGATTATTTGTAAATATCTATGATTTCTTGTAAATTTTATAGTTAGTAAGAAGCTGTCATAAAAATATTATATAAAGGTTTAAGTACTTAAAAGTTCTTACAAGTCTTACAGGAATATGTTATGAGCCTTATGATTCTGATTAGAATTTAGGCATAAATTTGAATTAAAAGATATAATATTAGCACACACACACAGTTATTATGAAACTTATATTACCTACATTTGCAGTTGAGAAAGAGGAAAGATATTGACTTGAGGCAGTTATTAAATGCAAAGAAACCGCCACCACTTGTCTATAGTATAGCCGATAAAGTAGCAAGTCTTACTAAAAATAAACTCGATGACGAAAGTGATCAAGATGAGGAATCGGAACTCGTTATCGAAGTGCCAACTGAAGATGAGGATAAGGAAAGGGGAAAGCTCCACAGTAGCGAACAAAGTAATAATGGCTTATTTTATTTTTTAACTTCTTTTCCTCAGCTATATTTAATATATTACAAGATATTTAATAATGTTTACCTATACTTAGCTTATTGTTTCTATTGTTTACTATTTAATATTTTATATATTGCTTTCAATCTTCATTGTTATTAATATAATTCATATCAAATACTATGCACATACAGATAATTAATGGAAAAAACAATTATATCTGTGTTTAACAGGTGAACATCTCATTTCTTCATGTATAGAAGTTCACGAAACAATGCCGCCTCGCTTACCAAAAAAGGCGCAAGAATTGTTTATGCGAATACAGCAGCAACAACGCGCGGCTCAAGACAGTTTGAAAAACATGGATAACGATTCCGATGCACCTAATACCGATCAAATAATCGAAGATTGGTATTCGGATGACGAAGACGACGATGACGATGACGATGAGGGAGGTAATCTTACCATAGTGGATAGTTTGAAAGACGAAATTGAATCCATCGAGAAGACTCAGAATGTTGTTATCAAAGAGAACTTCCAATCTGCGACATCTATATCCAATGTACCTCAACCGGCCGCTATTGTGGACAAACTAGGTGACCTAAGCAAGATTGATATCAGTGCCGAGGTATCTAAGTTGCTCTCTACTCTAAAGGCTCAGAGTTCCACGAACAACAAGACGCAGCAAGCGGCAAACTCAAATCAAGATGCGTCGAAAATTAAATCAATGCAAGATATAAAGACGGATAGCGAGACATCGTCAAGTCCGAGGCGGTCACCAGGTCCGAGTTCATCAACAATGTCTGTATCCAGGGATCCACGAATGTCTCGGGATCCCAGGCAACGTCGAGAAATTGAGCAAAAACCGAGCAGCCCTAGCATATCTTCTGATGTGAAGAGAGAGCAAAAGCCCCTCAGGCTAGAAACGAGCATCTACAGTTCCGGTATCACCGCGGTAGACGCTAACATGGACACCGATCTTCGCACGAGAGCGGATCAAGATCTCAGACGACAAGACATGGATTTTCGACAGCGTTTCCAGTCTGGTGATTTTGGTGACACAGATCTGCGTGTCAAATCCGATGTGGATCTGCGGCAGATACTGAGTCTACCGTTCAAACCGGCACCTGCGCATATACCATGCACTGAGATCGACGCAAGTATTGCGTCGCATCCACCGATGGCATACAAAGTCTATGTAGTCGATATACCCAGACCGGATTACACTGGCCTCAAGCTAACGAAGAATGATGCACAGGTCAAATATGATCCGCGCCTCCGCAAGATCTTCCGTATCACCAAGCCCGAGCAACTAGCCGACTCGCCAATGTCACCACCGCCACAGATGAAACAGGAGATACCGAAATCGCCGCCGCAATGTATTCGCTCAGATCCACGACGGAAAACTCTCGAAGCAGCAGCTTCCAATCAACAATCCTCGCAAAATGCGACCAATGCTGCAATGATGGCTAAAGGGATGCAGCCAATGGAGACAATAGGATCCAACATCGGTCTCGGTCCCGCCAGCATGCAAGTGAGACCTGGTATGCCTGGTGGTCCATTACCCGGCGGCATTCCGGGTCCACCTCAAAATATGATAGGTCCAATAGGTCCAAACCATCCAATGAATATGGGTAACATGGGTCCAATGAGACCTATGATGAACGCTGGACCGATGCCGCCACAGAATATACCGTCCATGGGCATGCCACACGGTCCGTCGATGGGTATGAATGGACCTCCGATGCCGCCCCAAGGTCAGATGAATTTCGATCCACGTTTCAACGCGCAGCGTAACAATGGAGCCGGACTGTTGGGCCCTGGGCCAGGTAACTTCGGACCGGATAATTACGAAGGAGGGGGGCCGCCTTATCCTTGCGGTGGCAATTTCAATAATTTTGGAGGACCTAATGGCGCTAGCAGTGATCCGTTCGGTCCAAATGGATCAAATGGACCCAATTTTGGTCCGATGAATAGTGACGATTGGGGGGGCAGTAGACAGCGCGGCGGCCGTGTTCGCCGAAGAAATCGCAGTAGGACCAATATGGTGACCAATAATTAAAAGATATATAGGGAAAATAGATTGTGAACACCTTTCATTATAATTCTCACAAGCGATAAAATCGCGTGTGTATATATGCGTGCATGTAACACTCAAAAACATATTTTAAAGTCTTTCCAATTTATTTTCGTGTATTGGTAAATATCAAGATACTTTCTTACGTAGCTCTACAGATTTATTTCTTACAAATCTATAAAAATATGTAAATATTTATAAATATTCTTTACAAATAATTATCAATATGTATACACACATCTTTGATTTATATAAAATTAAATCTGTAGATTTACTCTAGAGAAAGATTTGAAAATATAATAAACGTTCGATGATACTTATGAACGATAGATTGGGAATTGTCGAGCGATGGCTCATGGTACGTAAATCTTAAATTATAATAAATGAGAAACTATATATCACAATGCTCATATATGTGCAATTTTCCTTTGGAATACCACATAAAAGTTGGTGTATTCCAACACTCAGACCATACCGGATCCATCACTCTTTATTTATAATTCGTTGCATAATTCTCAAAAACACTAATTGAACTAAAAATGTAAGTTCATAATATAAGAGATATTTATATACTATATAGACAATTACGAATATGTATCCATTAGTTTACAATAAATAGATTCTACGAAAAGACACTTAGCACACATAAGTCGCGCCGAAATAATTGAACATCTAAAATATTAAGCGAATGATAAAAAAGATTGAATTGATAATATTGACGTCTTCCACAAAAGACATGCGAATGTCTGCGATCTGTAAGACACGTGTTTCTTTTCACGATTGACATCCACGATTCGTAAATCGACATGCACAACTTTACGTGTCATGGAGATGTAGGGATTCTAAGATGAATGCAATATTTTGTAAAAGAAATTAATGTATATCGATTTTACAAAATATGTAACTTAGTACTTTTTTACGCTTTAAAGAAGAAGGTATATGAGTATGTGTAGATTCCAAACGCTTCGATTAGAAATATGCAAATCATATATCGAAGCATCATGATGTAATTTCTATAATTTCGCACACTTCTGATGCAGATTAATTATTTACTGATTCTTTTTGGTAGTACAGACTTGCGTGTCTGAACTTTAATAATAATATTGCGATAAAAAAAAAGCAGAAATTTCTAGCTGTATGTATCTTCTTTGAAATGAATCTAATAGATACAGGATACTGACTTTCACTGAATTATATACCTTAATCGATGTTAATCTATACACTTGTTTATTATTATTGCTACATTATATTAACGCAGAGCGAAATTACATTTGTAAAGAAAATACATTTGTAAAGTTTACTATCATTATATGTAGCAAGATTTTTGTACAGACGAGAGTTGTTGATTCAACCGAAGTTTTCGGTTTGTTTCAATGATGTAAATACCGCTGTATTAACTCTGTGCACTTTTTAAAATACAATTATTATATGCTAAACGTGTCTACATATGACAAATGGAAGATTTTTGTACAATATACAACCTAAGTGAAAAGTTGTATTACTTTTTTTCTTATAATGCTCGCGATTGTTCTTATTTTAAATTTAGATGAAAATAGACGACGATTCCAAATTGCAATTTCAGATATATATATTCGTTAATGTGTGATAGAACTTAGAGGGTCAGCTCGTATTGTTGATAAATCCAATCTCGCGTCCATTTCGTCGTCTATCTCTCCTACTATCGCTCTGAAAAAGAAGTACACCATGATAAGCAATGTGTATTCTTTATGTGAATATTTATGTTAGATATTTATTTTCATATAAATGTTAGTGCAAAGTGAAATTATTTTTCTATATTTTTCTAGTGATAAATATATATAATATAATACTGCTGTAATAATAAAAGGAACAATTATTATAATATGATTATTAAAACTACTTTGTGTGTACACAGTTTATATCTCAAGAAACTATACTGACACATTATCTCCTCTGATAATGTGCAAACCCAAGACAACCTGCTCCACTCCCTGTGTTGTACTGTATACACGCTCGTGTGATTCATCCAGAATTAGATTGATGGTTTGATCAAAACCTTTTAGCGTACCCTAAAACAAAAATTTGGTTTATGAAAATAAGCTGAATCATTATTAGGGATATTAAACATACAGCTTTTGACACTAAAATTTTATTTTTTAGCAGAATGCAATTATATAATCAAAGTTTTGAAATATAAAACATTCATGAGAAACATTTTCAAAGAATTATGTAGTTTTATTTTTGAAATATTTGTAAGACATTAAAGAACTAATAATCTGATGTTATCTGAATATTTCATATTTAAAAAAATTCAGCTGCATAATTACATTCTACCAATAAATAAAACTTTAATATATCAAAAGTTGCGTAAATGTAGGAATATTTAAATTTAATAATCATGAGTTACAAAATAATGTAAACATAGTATTATATTCTACTGTAATTATATTTCTGAGTGAAATACAAAACGATTACAAACTGTGTACATATGCAAATCGGTATTCTCATAATTTTGCGAATAATTTGTGTACTCACAATGAAATTCCTACCATCCGACGTGATAATGGAAACTGTATCTAGGTAAATTAAAGTCAGTTAAAGGTCAATACATTTATTACGTTCACAACTCAGGTGAATAATAAATTATATAAAAAGGATACGATTCACGTAACTCTCTAATCCTGACGCCATTATTTATTGTCACACACAGCTGCCTAAATCGATATAAAATCACATAAATACGTTAACGAGTCATTAGTTTTCACGAATATAGGTTAGATCAACAATTATGTAGCAGTAATGTTAGAACTGCTAAAGTGAGGATATTGAAGGTATGTAGCACAATATAGCAACAGCGAATGCGTCACTACAGTTTCTTCTTTTTTATAACACCTATCTTCAAATGAAGGTCAATGTCAATACAGTCAGGATGACACAAACGCGTTACTACAAACAAGCCGAGTGACTTCCATGCCGACCGTGATATATGGACTGTTGCCAAATCAGCCAAATGGTGCCGAATGCCGACTAGAAGCAGATAGCGAGATAGGTCGGTATTCATAGTCAGTTCTTATATTCAAGATCGTCTTAAGTTCAGCCTTGAGGTGTCATGAACCAATCAGAGAGCCGCGTTAGCGTATTAAGACATTACTTAAGATGGTTTTGAAATAAGAACCGACTATGAATATACCGGCCATAGTCATACATAGTATTCTTATATTCAAGACCGTCTTAAATTCAGTCTTGAGATGTCACGAACTAATCAGTATATTCATAGTCGG